AATAACAGATTCAACGATGATTTCTTGTCATAGATCATAATGCTTTAATAGTAAATGTAGATGGCTGGAATGGATAAATGATTTATTCTTGTCATCAAATTAATTTTGTAACATATGCATTGAAATCCGCTATTCATTCTGAAACTCAATTAAAAAATATACATTTCTATTAGCTATAAAGGAATGTTTTTATCGTTACTAATCATATTTTACAGTAACCAATAATAATTTTAAAAGTAACCGTTATTAGTAATTATTCAATGAAATATTAATGTACAATGGACAATGATGTTTGTGTAGTATGCAAAAACCATATTGGTAATAAACTTACTGATACATACATAATTTTATAACTATAAGGATAATGGTTTATATAAAAAAAAAAACATTTAAACACTTTACAACATTACAACAAATTACATGGGGCTAATTTAACCTAACCTAACACTATTCAGGATATGTGTTGTTTTTTGAGGAAAAACAATATTTTCAGTGGTTAGGCCTCTTAAGGGCGCCTAATTTTTTTTTTGCACCAGGATGCAAAATATCTAAATGCGTCACTGTACATAGTTGAATAGTTCTTAAGCATTACATTTTTATATTTATATTACAAATAAATGTATTAATATTCATTGTAAATTAGACAATAAATTAGGTAATATTTTACAATAAATATGGTTCTATAAAATGTGATGTAAACATACCACAGAAAAATCATAATATAGTATAATTACTAATGCCTCAGGTGACTACTCATCACTATGTGGAGAGGGAAACAGAATAACATGACATAGGTATTACATACTTAAATAATGAATAAAATACATAAATACATAATGAATTAAATACATTTATACAACTATTCAGTACAGTAGACGGTAGTTTTTACATACCTATTTCAGTAAAAAGTGATGTTTTAAATACTTCCAAGACAAATTACATGTTTAAACTGTTATTAATTAATGTAAAAGTAAAATGAATAACGTGTGTTAGATTGTATAGTCTTTAGAGGAATTTTGAATTTATAACCTAACTTTCCATTATTGTTGATTTTTCATTGATGACAATATTATGTCAGTATGTTCGGTATAATTATCCTGGTAATGACGCCAATAGAATTTATTTATATATACTTTTAAAACTGTTACTATGTAACATAGGGCGACATCTACTTGACGGTTTCGGTGCAATAGTACGACACCCCTGAACTTATATAAAATGCAACACAACGTACAAGGCTTCTTATCTAGTCGTCCAAGTAAATAGTCCCCTAGCTATGGTCCCCCAACTTCACACACGTTAATATATTTACCATCATAATCGTAAATGTATTCAGCTGGTGTAAAAAAGTCTTGAATTTCTTGCTTGGTTATGGTAGGTTGTTGTTGAATTACAATATTTGAACCTGAAAAATAGTAATATTTTGGATAGGTACTTGAAAAAAATAATTCATCGAATAAATTACATTTTATTTAACACCTTTATTATTATAATATTTCCTTTAGGTAGTATAATGTATATATGTTGTATTAAATAATTAAACATGATATACGTAGCCTTGATTATATATATATATATATATATATTATCTAATAAATCTGTAAATAGTTAAAAAATACTTACGATGTTTATCCTTGGTATGTCTGATGAGACTATCTCTCCGTGTGAATATTTCTGAACATATACTGCATGAAATCTTGTTGGAAACATCGTGTGACTTGGCATGTCTGTGTAGACTACTGATTCGAGTAAAGGTTTTACCACATATACTACACGGGAACATGATTACGTTTGATGAAAAACTGAAGAATACTAGTCGAACTCGCAAAACAAGTCTTTACGTCAATAGATGGGTAATGAATTATAGAAAAATATATTGTACTTTAAATAACAGTGTGAAATTAGTTTTATCTAAGCGAATTATTAACGTATGCGCTAATATCAGAACTAGTGGTGAAAAAATGAACTACGGTGTTCATTAAAGTAAAATAAATAATTTGATTTTTATAAAACTTGTAAAATATTTGTATACACTTTAAAACACTTAAGAACTCTGAAATAACTCGACTTGACACTTGAACGGTAGTAAACGGACTGATCTCATATTGCTCTGTGTACATTATGGCTGTAATTCATCGACAATACTCGGACGTGTCACTACAGGCTTGTACAGGTCTGTAGTCGGATGATGTTGTTAGGGTGTGAGGACGGGTGGCGGGGTGTAAAATATAATTTAGGGTGGTACTTTGTTGGATTGGAATGTTTTATTTCTTATAACTGTGACCATGTGTGTGTGTGTGTGTGTGATACATTTCGATGTATAAAGTATGCTTTAGCGAGATGCTTTAGGTTCGAATGGGATTATAATCTGAAAATGGTATAATATTTTTAGATATGTGTTATGTTGTTACCTTATATTATATTATTAGTATGTATGATAAAGTCGATACATATTTACATCAGAATATTATATTTATATTTTTAAAAGGGTAGGTAATGTATTTGATTAGGAAGGGGTAAAATATATGTCGGGCAAGTGTTCGATATAGTCGATACAAAAATGTACATCAGAATATTATATGTATATATTTTTTAAATGGTAAATAAAAGGGGAGGTAATGTATTTGAAGGGGAAGGGGTAAAATATATGTCAGTCACGTGAGGATGGGGTGACGTGTGACGAGTTTATGTGTGTTGCGGGTTGCCTATATTGAGTAATTAATGCAAGTTTGAGCGGTGCGTGTACTTCGAATTGCCTATACAGAGCAGCCTATGATTTTACATGTAAAATTTAAGGGGGCGGTGCTCCAGAACATACATAATTATCCTACTAGTGTAAAAATGTAATACAAGGCTCCTGATATATTTTTACAATAGCAGTTGAAAAATATTAAAAATACATAGGCACAGTTTTTTTTATAAGCATTTAAAGATCAAATTTTTACAAAATTTATCAAAATCTCGAAAATTATCAATCATTGTAATTAATAAATTATAAAATGTTCAGTTTTTATAGCTAAGGATTACAAATTCAACACGAAGGTTCTCATAAATAGTTTATACTATAACCAAAAAATCTAAAAAATATATGAACACACTTATTTTTTACACACATTTTAAATTCAAATTTGGACGAAATTACATATTAAAAAACCTAGAATAACTATTTTAGTTATTTTGTTGTGATTGAATAATATTATTCGTGGGTACTTGAAACTTCTAAAGTGTACTATTATATATTTATGATAGTATCACGGTTTTTGTTGATGTATAACGCGTTATAAGTATCTAATGGATATTGTGATATGATTAATTTGGAATTTATTATAGGTACCTATTATAGGTCATTTTTTTGTTTAATACCATAGATAATATGTATATAATATGTCTTATACATAGACTGACATACCGTCACCGCTCAGAATCGTTTTTCTTATACAATGATATTATATCATTGAATTTAAATTTAATACCATCCATTATACAGTGACCCACTTGTAACCTACTGTACAGCAGAGCTACACCCACTTGCCCACCTTTTTTAATATGTAATTTCGTCTCAAATTTGAACTTAAAATACCCATAAAAATAAACTGTGCTTGTGTATTTTTTAGATTTTTTGGTAACAGAATTAAGTGAGTTGTTTTGTTTAAAACACATGTTTTAAACATGTTTAAAACAACTAAATAAAACAAACTTCAATTTGTTTTAATCATTTAAAACAGTTGAATAAAACAACAAAAAAAAAACAAGTGTTTAAAACAAAAAAAAAATTTTAGCTGAATTTAAATTTTCTTAAAATCGTATATTTTTCTTCGGACCATATATTATATTCATATTTCGAATTAATTTATATTTTATGATTTCATGCAATCAGTGAAACTACCTGTGGTGTTTATTTTCTTAAGAAATTTCTAGCAGAAAGGGAAAAAGTTTAAGCTTTAAAAGTTTAAAATTATGTCCAAAAAAGTATTATAAATTAAAATTCGTAATAACCATTTTATAGTGTTTATTTTATTAATTTTATTATAAAAAGTTGTAAATTAAAAAAAACCAAATTAAAATTAGTATTAAGTATTACCTATTTACTATTATTCAGTAAATAATATAAATTATTGCTTTTCAGTTTTCAGCCTTTGAAAGAATAATAATATAATACTTTGTTTATTCTTTTCAGTCTTTGAAAATTATATAAAAATTTTATAACTAAATTAACAAATGAAAATTTTAATCAACTTTAACTTATTAATAATTATTATTTAATCATATATTGAAAATATAATAATACCTATTGGCTATTAGTATAATATAAAAAAAAATAATTAAGGTAACATACTTTGTTTTTTTTTCTTTTCAGTCTTTGAAAATTATATAAAATACTTATTACTAAATTAACAAAATCAAAATTTTAATCAACTTTAACTTATTAATAATTATTATTTAATCATATATTGAAAATATAATAATACCTATTGGCTATTAGTATAATATAAAAAAAAATAATTAAGGTAACATACTTTGTTTTTTTTTCTTTTCAGTCTTTGAAAATTATATAAAATACTTATTACTAAATTAACAAAATCAAAATTTTAATTAAATTTAACATAATCATAATTATTATTTAATCATATTATATTGAAAATATTATAATACCTATTGGCTATTAGTATAATATTAAAAAAAAAAATTAAGGTAACATACTTTGTTTTTTTCTTTTCAGTCTTTGAAAATTATTTAAAAAACTTATTACTAAATTAACGAAATAAAAATTTTAATTAACTTTAACATATTAATAATTATTAGTCATAAGTGAAATCTTTGTTCAGTGATTTAAAAATCGTAACTAATTTTGATGATTTTTCAATTCCAAGCCTGTTTCTTAATTTTGAATGAACAAGACCATACGAAGAAAATATCCGTTAAACTCCAGCTGAAGAAGCACTAGCAGTAAATAATTTTTTAACTAGTGATAGCATTTCTGAAGAAATTTTTTTTTTTAATTATAACCACCAAGTTAATGGTTTAACTTGACTGACTGTTTGTGCTTTAAAAAGATAATCCTTAAAAGGATATGCTTCAGCTTGATATGTTATTATTTCTGGCATAATTTCTTGATGATATAAATTTGTAAAATCTAGAGTGGAGTCCATCTGATCAGAATTCATTTTTATTCCTCTATATTTAGGGTCCAAAACATAAGCAATGAAATGGTATTCGTTCACTGCCATATCAAATCTTTTTTGAACTTTTTCAACCATTGAATCATTGCAAACCTCAAGTTCAAAAAACTGTTTTAATTCTAACCATAAATGAGTTGATTCACTTAAAGTACATCCATCTGCCTGAACTTTGTCTAGTGTTATACTTATTTTTTTTAATTTCACAAGATATTCTTTAGCAGTTGTTTTCATTTCTGTATCTTTCACCTTAGAAAATATTGTAGGATTACATGCAGTCCGATTCTCATCACACACTTTATATAATATGTGCCAGTTGTCCAAATAACACTGAATCGTGTCTGAAAGTGTATTCCACCTAACATCTTGAGGAAGAATTAGAGACTTCCCTCCTTCAAGTTTGTATTTGGCAGCAAAGAAATGTGTGTTTCAAAATATTTAAAGATTGATTTTACATGAGTCTTCACACCTACAGCTTCTATGTCATGTGCAAATAAATTTAATAAATGAGCGGAGCAGCCATAAGTTATAATATGTTTATTATTAAGTCCTTCACTCATAGCTAAATTCGTTCTCATTTTATTCATATTACTAGCATTATCGGTAACAACGCTGCCAACAGTGCAACCAAAACTTTCACATAATTTAATAGTGTTTTCTGCTAATTGAACAAAATAATCCCATGTATGGCTATTGTCTTTGGTGTCGATAGTATCTAACAAGTATACAGCATTTTTAGTGTCGCTCATATCAGTAACACAAACACAAATTATAGACTCGTTGTGAATGTTTGACCAACCGTCTAAAGCCATGCAAACCGTTTTTCAATCTAACTCTAGTTTGATTAATTTAGAAAGTGAATCATATACATCATTTAATAACTCATTGGCAATTTTATGTCTATTCGGTGGATGATACCCAGGACGTAGCATACTTATAATTTTTAAAAACTGAGGATGTTCGACTGTTCTGAACGGTGAATTTGATGCAAAAATGAATCACGCTACTTGATTATCAAGTTTTTCTTTTTCATACTGCGTTGTTCGAATGACAAATGTATTCATTAGTGGATTGTTTGTTTTTTGTCTCTTTGGTTGAACTATTTCACTCATGTTCTCTTCGTAAGGATTTGACATTGCTTTACCACTATTAACTTCAACTAGTTCTACTCCAGCTTCTTTTTCGGATTGATCATTAAGTTGACCTAATTCAAAACATAATTGTTTGTATTATGCTTTTGTTAAAATAAGTTATGTAATTTAATTTTTAATTTATAACAAGTTTTTTTTGAAATATTTTTTTAATATATTTAGTTAAGTATGCTTCCTACATTTTATTTTGTAGGTACCCTCAACTCTATAAGTATGCTTCTAACTAATAATGGAGTGAAGACTGATAACTAAATATATAGTACTCTTATTAAAAACTCAAACAAATATCATTATTTTTAAACTCTGTATATACCTATATTTAATAAATTATTATAATTATTATGTTTAACCAGATGTTTAACTTCATTATAAATAAGTAATTCTTCCAAAGTTCTAATATTGGGTTAACAGTTTATATAAAAATTAAAAATATAGTGATTAGTGATAATTATACAATTAACAAAATAGTCTTAACTTAAGATGTAAGAACTAAGAAGCACACTGAACATACCTAACCATATTATTTTTAACTATACATTATTACTTACATTGATTGGAGGTTGATGGTGAGTCCAATTCATTATCATTATTTATCGAAGAGCCAGTGCATGTTTGGTACACATGGGTTTTCATTCTTGCAACCAAACCAACAATCACTGTATGACATTTTTTACATTCTACACGTTTTGACTTTAAAATGTTTAAATCACTGTTATCTGGTTTCTTTTCAGTAAAGTACTTCCAAATACTATCTTTCCTCCTTCCAGTTGACATAATTAGGTAATTAACAAATAACTTTATAGGAACTTCAACTTATTAGTTAATTACAAGTTATAAGTTTATAACACACAACTCAAAAATATTTAATATTACTAAATAATAAATATAAATATATAATAGTAAAATGAAATTACTTTTAGGTCTTTAAGTCTTTTATCAAACGGTTAATAATTTTAAATGTACGATAACAATTTATAAATTATAAACTTTTGACAGTGTTGCCAATGTTGCCTAATCAAAATATCTCAATCTAAATTTGTAATTACATTGACTTCATAGATAAAAGATAATTGATTTTTTTTACTTCAAATATTAAACATGTTTTAAATAGTTTAAAACTGTTTTAAACAGCATAAAAAAAACAATAAATATAAATATGTTGTTTTTCCCGGTGATTGTGAAAACTATTAGGAAATTTAAATTTTGACCCCCCCCCCCCCCCCCAATGCACCAACGATATTCACTTTCGAATCGAAAAAGATACTGAAGTTGAAAATCGAAGCATTATTTCGACTACTTATTGTGTACACAGACACAAAAATAAAAAAATATAAAAACACACATCATTGTAAAATCAATACATTCATCGTTTCACTCAGAATCTAAAAGAATTGTTAGCATTTAGATGTGCATAACCACGTCTAATTAATGATTGTTTATTAATTATTTGTAATATTATCATTCTATATAAATATTATGTGTTAGTTGATAATAATTATAATATGTGATGATTATGGATGATTAAGCGTCGAATGATTAACAATTCACTGAAAAAAAATTAATTAATTTTGCTAACCAAATTACGGTAATCACAACAATGGAAAGCAGTTAGCTCAGGGACAGCAGTAATTTTAATTAGAATACCAATCAATTCTGGTTGGCTGTTGTTAGTTGTCTTTACAATAGCAATTGTGTTTACTACTAAACTTGATCTGGTAATGCTTACAGAAATAATGTAACAGTAACTCATACATTCTTGTTCACCTTACAAAACTAAATGATAGCCTGCAAAATATTTTCTGTAGGAATAACAAATATATGTTTTATACTATTGTTGAAGTAAAAATATGTAACTATGCGAACAGCAAATCATTTTGTAATGATAAAAAAATGATAATGTTCGATATACTTTATTTCTGGTTAAGGGAACAATTATTAATATGCAATATTAACCAAATTGAATTGTTTCTTATAAAAATTATATTGTAATATTATACGTACATTTTTGTAGTAGTAAATATAATTTTCAGGTTGAAGTATGGCTTTTGGGTCTGGAGAACAAATCCGGAAAAAATAACAAAGTCCATATCACTACCATAGTACTATCACTACATCAATACTCCGCAGTGTTACCACAACAATAATAATTTTAGACTATTTTTTTTCACCCGTTCATTTTCTAAGTTTCTAAGTGCAAAATAAAATAATATCCCTGGTCAAATTATTCTAAGTACAAAATAAAATTTTAAAAATGTGACTGACGAGAAGGCCCTTGGTTTTTTCGAAACTTATCGGAAACATACTTTTATAATTATAAAATTTCAATTTTCCGACCAGAAAATATTTCAAAATATCGAAAAATGTCCAAGAGTTTTTCGATTCGTACACCGTAGTAGAAAAATAATCAGCGGTCGGATTTTATTATTTTCGATTTTCTCCATGGAGTATGGCTTTTGGGTCTAGGAAAAAATTTCAAAATATTGAAAAACGTAAAAGAGGTTTTCGATTCGTACACCGTAGTAGAAAAATAATCAGCGATCGGTTTTATTATTTTCGATTTTCCGATCGATTTTCCAAATAGAGTAGGGCTTTTGGGTCTGGGAAAAAATTTTAAAATATCGAAAAACGTCCAAGAGGTTTTCGATTCGTGCACCGTAGTAGAAAAATAGTCCGTGGTCAGTAGTATATATTTGTATGTTCACAGCCAGCTTTTCCAGGGAAAAAAAAAAGTTCAAGCGGGGAATGTCCGCTTGGAGCACTCAGATTTACCGTGTAACACATTTCACACTGATTGTCTACCAAATTTCGTCTCACACAAATATATTTAACATTTACCAATTTTAAAACTAAAATAATTATTTCAAGAAAAAACACAAATTATTAAATCATAGTTTTTTTATTGTTACAAATAAATTCTTAATTATATTTACACAAGTTTTCTTACTTCTCTAGTAAAAGGTACATATTCTACAATACGATCATGAATTAAGAAACAGTAAGCAGTCACACCTGTGAGCGATTCTGAAGCTTCAATTTCCAATTGAACATCCACTGCTGAGGCTGTGGCTGAATCGTTCTGTTTCGAAGTATCGATAACTATAATTGGAGCGTTTGTCAGAAAAGTAGAAGGACTCAATATCGGGTTGCGAATACTTTTTTCATAGTACGATTCTTGAAACGATGTATACATATTATATAATAAGGTGAAATTATTTTTAGTAAAATCTAAATTCAAATTATCGTATGGATAAGCTATAGAGTTCAGAAATACTTTAACGTTTGTTAAATTACAATGATCAAATATACTACAATCTTTTGTTAGCAAATGTTTGTGTCCTTTTTGTAATCCAATTATGATAAATCGTGGTTTTTCTAATTTTGAAGCAGTTTTCAAATTCCATACAACTTTTTTAGTGGTTCCGAGTTCAGGATATTCAAAAGTTTCAAAAGATCTAAAACGGATAAATAGACTTTTTTCATTTTCTATAAGTTTCAATAATTTTAACCTTTCTTCGTCGTCGACCGTTATATGTGGCACCTTCCAGACTATTTTATTGAAGGTGACTTTACCTTCAGTAGCAGTTGCACCATTTTTAACTTGTAAAGCATTTAAATCACTATGACTTCGGGTTAATAATAATTCCAATCTAGATTTCGCTAATATTCTTTTATAGTCTTCAAACAATCCTAAACAATATTTCAATGGAATGCAAGCACTAAATTCACCTTTGTCATTTTCCGATTGCGTTGCGTTTTTAAAATTCCAGCCAGCATTTTCATAACAATTGTAGTTATCTGGCGTACCGGATAAGTAACCTTTCAACGAGCTAGTGATTCCAAGAACACGTGTGCTATCTACTTCTATCCCATTGATTTCCAATAGTATTTGTTCGAAGAGGTAAGAGTAACCGTTATTAGTTAGTTTCACTTTGGTAGCATCAGTAATTGTTCCTTCCAAAAAAATAAAGCTTTCGTGTAGATATGGGTAGACATCCGTTTGCTGGATTGATATACGTATTTCATCATTATTATTAAATGATGTAGTATACGGTGTGTATGAATGATATTCAATTTACGTAATTTTAGAACCCGTTTCGTACTGTGAAGTTATATCCAAAATATCACTCTCAGGCATTCTGCTTTAATTGATAACCCAGAGCTTGTAAAATTTTTTTATTTTTTACCGTTAATTTTGTTATCTTATTTGATGTTGCTGGTAGCACTTTAGTCTTATGACTAGTTGTGCTGATCCGAAGTAGCGGGTTTATATTGAATTTCAGTCCCATCTCAAGACCCGTAACGTTTAATATGTAACACGATTGTCAATGCCTCACCAAAATTATCAATCGGATTATGATCTTGATCAACTAATTGAACGGTTATCGAATCAATATTTGTTTTATTCAATTTGTAATATATTAAATATGGCGGTGACTGAATTACTTTCGACCCTGTCTTTCCACTCGGGAAAAACTCGTAAATCGAATGACTTTGAAGATGGTTGTTGAATGATCCTTGAGCTATATTACACATTACTTTTATAGAATTAATTGTGTTTAAATTTACAGCTTTTTCCGATTGAAGAATTTCATAGTATGCCTTATATACTCGTTTTTCAAAACCGAATACAGGTGCTATACTATATGGATACTCAAAGTGTA